CTGGAGAAAACACCGCAAACACATCATGCGGTTAAACAGTTGTCAAAAAATTGAGGAAACAATACGATAAATCTGTGAAAGGGTGCGATGTGGCGCTGGATTGGTGTGACGAACCCAACTGTTCTTCCAGACAGATCGACACAACAAAAGGACAGAAAGCACTGCACTTTCACGAACCGAACCAATCAAAGACTAGCACGGCAAAACAATCTGTATTTCAGTCCATCACACACATCTCACTCTGCTTTTACTGTTCCATTACTCAAACACCATCGCATGAGAACAGAACTTGAATCTGAATAACGACACTATTGTCTTGTGTCTTCATTTTAAAAGTCTGACATTCGGTCCAGGTCCAGTTTGATCAGACCGGGGCATCTGTGCAGGTGTTTTGGTGCAGGTCAGACTCACATTTGCATGGCATAAACATTCATCTCAGAGCTGGACTGCAAATCCACAAAATCCCGACCGGCAGTGTCTGACAGACAGAGTAAAAATGAACTGCACAGCATATGCAGTCGCACGCATAATCAATAAAACGAAAAGTGCTGGTTTAAACGACTATCAATCACACAGAGCGCCTGCGCTCAGACTGACATTCATCACAGGCTGAAAAATCACCGCCACTTTGTCAGAGCAGTGTTAATATAATGCTGCTAATGCTGTTTCATGCATTCTGACTTATTTACACTGCTAAAGAGTTGGATTCTCATGCTAAACATGACCAAAGTCTCAAAAAACCAGTGAGACATATAACAGTGTTTCTGTGCCAAAGACTTCAGGGTTCGTATAAGTTTCAGCAAGGTTCTTTGAAGTACGGTCCTGTATAACATCATGAAGGGCATAATACACAGGGGCCCTACATGGGTTTGTCCATGGGTTCCATGTGGGCCCCATCTGAACTCATATGCATCTCATATGGGGCCTGACTGGGCAACACATATAAGACCCATATTGGTCCCACTTATGAAGCGCATGTGGGATATACTAGGGCCCAGTATGGGTACTGGACTGGCCCCACATAGTGATGTAGGTATGTGGGGGTGTGTTAGAACGAGGTGTTTTAGGTAGGCGTGGCTGACTCTTAACTTTATAAAGAATATCTCTTTGGATTTGAGACTTTAGTCTTTGCAACTTTACAGATCTTCTTTATGCACCAAGAGCTTGTAACACTCCAAAGAGAAAGGAACACTTGAAATCGCATCATATGACCCCTTTAACACATTTACAGATGTTTCATGATTAAGGTAAACTAGTAAAAAATATTCTAGGTTCAAAAAAAGTTCACGTCAATCAACATCTTCTAACAACATCACACAATTTAACAATGCCACATTAATTAATACCACAAATGATTTTTGTGATGTTAGGTTTATGCACTTTGGTGAAACCTCCCGTTATAATCACTGAAGCGGCATTGTTGTTTATGACGAGGACGAATCTAAACGCTGATTGGCCACTACATTCACAAGCTCCACATGAAGGCGTGTGATTGGTTTAAAGCTTAGCAACATAAGCGGATTTATGTCATGCCGCAATCCACATTATCATTCATTTTAACTTTAATCGCGACAGCCGTGATGCACTTGGTGCTACACAGCGTGAAAGCCAATATTTCAGAACTTAACAACTTATGTCAGAAAGCAAATTCAGAACTATGTCATTCAACACTAGTGCTGTCTCAGCTGCTGAGGAAACTCATCTTTCGCTCAGGAGAAAACGGCAGAACACAACAGGAACGCATCAAATAAACATAAACGGGCTATACGACTTGATAAACGTCAGGCAAAAACAACATTACAGAGTCAACAAAAATAACCTACATTTTAAACCTATTAACTGTTACGCCCCCCAGAAACATAGATACTTTAGTTTAAAGGTCATTTAAACTGTAAAAACAGAGTTTCCGATGCTCGAAAGCACATTAACAAAGACATGTTTAGAAGTCCTGCATTTAAACGTTACCTGCATATTCTCGCTCCGCATCCACGTCCTTGATTTGCTGAGACGAGACCGCTTCACTGCGCTTGGATCAAACCGTATCCTTGCGCCGGGGAGGGAATTCCTCTCATTTGAACATTTTAAATCCTTTAAATTTTAAATGTCCGCTTATTTTCAACAAAGATCTATGATATTATGATGTGAAATTATGTGGATAAATTCGAAACGAAACGCTGAATGCATCGGGACTACTTTGTCAAGCGGAAGGTGTTGTCAGAGAGAGAGGATAGCTCCAGTGAGACCCATTCTGGAATCTGTTTCTGCTCAAGTGTGTAGCCTACAGTTAAAGAAATCAAACACGTTTTGATAAATGCATAAGCAGGCTCACATTGTAATATTGACAATTCAAACAAAATGAAACATCACAATAGAAAATAATGCATTTTCAAAAAGTAGTTATGATCAGAACCATAATATATATATTCTTTGTTAAAATGTGACTGCGACATTCTACCAGAAGCGTACATTTCCACAGAAAAAAATATCTTGTTCTTAAATCTGAACGTTGAGTCATATGGAGGACATGTTAATACGAAACACATATCGTGCCATCTCGGCATGTTTTTATGATCGAAATAAATACATTTTTATAAAATGTCAGGCCCTGTCACAGACAAATGTGTATATGTTAGAATGGTTTCCTAATGAAGTTCTTTGATACAAATAGCATCTTCTTATTGGTCACATGTCCCTGATTGTATCTAACATGGTTATGTAATGTCTATAAGAAATATAAGCAACCTTTCGGTCAACTGTAGTACACACAATCCCAGAAGACCTGCCAGGCACTCAGAACTGCCTTTAGGAGATGTTTTCAAAAACATAGTATATACACTCCAACCTTCATCTACACAGTTACAGAGATTAATTCATCAATATTTCCTCAAATATGACATTTTTATAGCATAATTTCCTGTGTGACAGGACTGACTTTATGGATTTCGTTGATGCAGAAAAAGTTTTGTTTTGTGTTCTTTATTTAAGTTTTGATAAGCATTCCTATTTTAAATTATTATTATAATTTTAATGTTAATGTAATATTAGACTACGGTAAAGTTCAGCCAAGGACATATAATAAGGGCCTAATTCATTAGAATATGACTGACAATTTAATAAACTAATTTCATTTTATTTCAATATAAATACATATTTAATTTAACAATTTAGCAAAAATTCCATTTAACAATAACATGGCCAGATACAATAACAATAAACAGCTAGAATGGCACAAACTCAGACCGGAGTGAAAACAATAGCCCCGTGTTGTGCTACGCGTACGCGGGTGTAATAAATATAAATATAACTTCATAATATATATATAAAGTATATTTTACTATGATACAGCAAACGTATAGACATTTAACTGAATAGCACAAAGTAACTGTGGTACCACATAATATTATTTATTCAAATAATGTTTTACTATGGCATGCGTTAAATACATATTATATGCAGTAAAGGTAATAAAAAACAAAAATGCCATTCATTTGTAAAGCCGTGTTACAGGACTGTCAGGCCCTTAGCTCACACACCGGGATGTGACGGGGTCTGATGTGACGGGGCCTGATGTGACTGTGACGGGGCCTGATGTGACGGGGTCTGATGTGACGGGGTCTGATGTGACGGGGTCTGATGTGACGGGGTCTGATGTGACGGGGTCTGATGTGACGGGGTCTGATGTGACGGGGTCTGATGTGACGGGGTCTGATGTGACGGGGTCTGATGTGACGGGGTCTGATGTGACGGGGTCTGATGTGACGGGGTCTGATGTGACGGGGTCTGATGTGACGGGGTCTGATGTGACGGGGTCTGATGTGACGGGGTCTGATGTGACGGGGTCTGATGTGACGGGGTCTGATGTGACGGGGTCTGATGTGACGGGGTCTGATGTGACGGGGTCTGATGTGACGGGGTCTGATGTGACGGGGTCTGATGTGACGGGGTCTGATGTGACGGGGTCTGATGTGACGGGGTCTGATGTGACGGGGTCTGATGTGACGGGGTCTGATGTGACGGGGTCTGATGTGACGGGGTCTGATGTGACGGGGTCTGATGTGACGGGGTCTGATGTGACGGGGTCTGATGTGACGGGGTCTGATGTGACGGGGTCTGATGTGACGGGGTCTGATGTGACGGGGTCTGATGTGACGGGGTCTGATGTGACGGGGTCTGATGTGACGGGGTCTGATGTGACGGGGTCTGATGTGACGGGGTCTGATGTGACGGGGTCTGATGTGACGGGGTCTGATGTGACGGGGTCTGATGTGACGGGGTCTGATGTGACGGGGTCTGATGTGACGGGGTCTGATGTGACGGGGTCTGATGTGACGGGGTCTGATGTGACGGGGTCTGATGTGACGGGGTCTGATGTGACGGGGTCTGATGTGACGGGGTCTGATGTGACGGGGTCTGATGTGACGGGGTCTGATGTGACGGGGTCTGATGTGACGGGGTCTGATGTGACGGGGTCTGATGTGACGGGGTCTGATGTGACGGGGTCTGATGTGACGGGGTCTGATGTGACGGGGTCTGATGTGACGGGGTCTGATGTGACGGGGTCTGATGTGACGGGGTCTGATGTGACGGGGTCTGATGTGACGGGGTCTGATGTGACGGGGTCTGATGTGACGGGGTCTGATGTGACGGGGTCTGATGTGACGGGGTCTGATGTGACGGGGTCTGATGTGACGGGGTCTGATGTGACGGGGTCTGATGTGACGGGGTCTGATGTGACGGGGTCTGATGTGACGGGGTCTGATGTGACGGGGTCTGATGTGACGGGGTCTGATGTGACGGGGTCTGATGTGACGGGGTCTGATGTGACGGGGTCTGATGTGACGGGGTCTGATGTGACGGGGTCTGATGTGACGGGGTCTGATGTGACGGGGTCTGATGTGACGGGGTCTGATGTGACGGGGTCTGATGTGACGGGGTCTGATGTGACGGGGTCTGATGTGACGGGGTCTGATGTGACGGGGTCTGATGTGACGGGGTCTGAT